ATGAACATGGTGATGATCATGATAGTAAAGGTGATGATGATGATGATAATGATAATGTTATATGACGATAAAAACGATAATGTTAATGATGATGATGAGCATAAGCATAATCCTGACAACTGATTAAAAAAATGAGGAAATATTTAGATAGCAAATAGTCTCAGCTACAACATACTAAAATTTGTAAGAAAACTGTTGAATAACAACCGAGATACTGGTCAAAACACCTTGTCATGCAGATTCATGTTTTGAAAAAAGTGACCTCCCATAGACATAACACGCAAATATGACAAATTATGCATTGTCACCTTTAATCGAATATTTAACTATGATGACGTCATCTAAATGAAAAATAAATGGCATATTACTGATAGAGAATTATCTCAGCTACAACATATCAAAATCTGGGAGAAGATTGAAGACCGATAAGTGAGATAATCTCAATTAAACAAAGACAAGAATGACGTCATCAACAAAATACATTTGTTTGAGTTTAGATGCCAATATGATGACTTTATTTCACTTTGTACGAGTCAGGGTGGTATGAAATCATATCTCCAACTCATGCTTTCTCCAACCATGATATAAAAATTGGGGGTCAATGGACTATCTGAAGAGCTATTTCGATTTTTAAAATGGCATGTTTTTGATCAAATTTGCACTATATTGCCCATAGCAGTACGCGCGGATTTTGAACTTTGACGCACGCTCACGGCCTTATGAAATATGAAGAGTGACTGAAATTAATGTAAATTGTCAATTACGTTAAGAGGAATCAAAATCATGTAAACATTTTGAATTTGACCTTTTCCGCGCGCTGTGAGCGCGCACACCGCGCGCGGGGACACTTACGGTCGGAAAATTTTGAAATGCTTAAAATGATCTGATTCGTACTCTCGTTTAATAGTTTAGTAATTTTGAGCAATTTTAAATTTTGACGCGCACATACGCGCGCGTCATGACCTTTATGTGACCTTTGATGACATGACCTGTTAACCCTTGACCTAAAGTATATGTGATATGAATATGAATGACCTTTGCTGATGCATCATGAAGATATGATGGATAACGTGATTTCACAAAATGGCGCCTGGATGACGTCACGATAACCTAATGACCTTAAAAATGTTTCTGTCACGTCTCATGATAATGACCTATGACTGTGCCAAATTTGAATCAAATTGACATAACCAATCTTACGTTATCCGACACACAAAAAAGTGAAGAAATAAATAAAAATAAATAAATAATAATAATAATAATAATAAAGAAGAAAGAAAATTCTGACGAAATCAATAGGTGGTCTGTTGATAACAGACCACCTAATAAATAATAATAAATAAATAAATAAAGAAAATTCTGACGAAATCAATAGGTGGTCTGTTGATAACAGACCACCTAATGATGAAAAAAAAATTGTTGGAGACGCCCGGACTCGATCCAGGGACCTCGAGGTCGGAAGTCAAGTGCGTTACCGATACATCCAAAATATTTCCCATAGAGATTACACGGAAACGGAAAATACAATTCTCAAGTCCCACTTTGTAAGTGAAATATGAGCATGATACTGGTATCTGATCGAAAAATAAAGGGCACAGTTATTATAGCTCATTGTCTCAGCTACAACATACTCAAAGCTCACCGTAAACGAAGATAAAACGACGGAGATATTGCTCACGAAAGACAAGAATGTAGAATCCAGTTTTGAGAAAAAGTCATGTCCCGTAGAGAATACACGCAAAATGTGAAAATTGACATGCCTCCTTTAATCGCAAAAATACGCCATGATGCCATTGTTAAAATGAAAAATACGTCGTGACTTCATTTGTAGAGATTTGTCTCAGCTAGAACATATCAAAATTTGGATGAAAATTGATCAATATTTACAGAGATACAATCAATTTTCCAAAAATATGCTGACGTCATAATATGCAAATTGAAATTTTGATTTCGGAGGCCATTATGATGACGTCATGAGTTAATTGAGTGTCAAATGAGACATGAAATCATATCTCCGACTCATAATCTATCCAAATATGAAAAAGAATTGGGAGTATCTATCCATTCTGAAGAGCTACAATGGATTTTGTATAGGCATGTTTTTGCCCATATATGCTATGTATTACAAGAGCTCGCACGCACTGACATTTACCTTGAACGGAGGCAATCATGATGACGTCATGAGTTAATTGAGGGTTTGAACGGACTTTACCTTAAACGGACGCTCATTTCGTTATCAATTGTCATAAAGAGATAAATATGGTATCAAATTGTTCGGAATAAATTGGGCAATACTATGATAGACAAAAAAAAGGCGATTCTCGGTTGCGTACGACCATTACGATCACAAACGTGCGCGCAAATTTATGCTTGCGAAAATTTTCAAATTCTCGAAATGCTTGAAATGGCCTAAAACGTACTCTAAATTGACCAAAAAGTGATTATGAGCATTTTTTATTTTTGCGCGCACCGACGCGCGGACGGACGCGTACGCGCGCGTTTTTTGACCTTAAGTTTACCGGACGGATAATGCCCTTAATCGTTATAAATATGAATGAGAAATGATTTACGGTTATGAAGATATGATCATGAGTTGATTCTCAGAGCACTTCACAAAATGGCGCCTGGATAACGTCACGATATGTTGATGAACTTGAAAATGTTCCTGTCACGTCTTAAGATGATGACCTATGACTGTATTAAATTTGAAAGAAATTGGGTGGTTCAATTTTGAGTAATCGTGCACACAAAAAAGTGGTCACAAATTTATTTTAATTGAATTGTGTTTTTGTACAAATTCAATTAAAATACTAGATTTTAATTCGTCACGAGGACGAATAAGGTGGTCTGCCTTCAAGTTATATAGACATGTAAACAATGATGATCTTAATGATGATCATGATGATGATGATCTTTATAGTAATGGTGATGACGATGATGATGAACATCACAATCATGATGATGTTGATGATCATCATCAACAGACCATGATGACATCAGACTGAAAAAAATGAGAGAACATTTAGATAGTATATAGTCTCAGCTACAACATACTACAAAATCAACAAAAATCAAGCCGAAATAACGGCGATATTGCTCGCAAAAGACAAGAATGTAGAATCCAGATTTGAGAAAAAGTCATCTCCCATAAGGATTACACGCCAAAAGTAATGGATCAAGTGATAATAGGGTAATATTAAAGTAAATATGGTTGTTTATTACATTATTTGCGATTGTACGTGTTTTAATATTCAAAGGAGATGGTACAGTGAAAGGTCAAAAAGAAAAAAAAAGTGAAGAAACAAAATTGTTGGAAACGCCCGGACTCGAACCAGGGACCTCGAGGTCGGAAGTCAAGTGCGTTACCGATATACCAAAACATTTCCAATAGAGATTACACGTAAACGGAAAACTGAATTCTCAAATCCCACTTTGTAAGTGAAATATGAGCATGATCCCGGCATCTGATCGAAAAATAAAGGGCACACTTGTGATAGCTTATTGTCTCAGCTACAACATACTCAAAGCTCAGCGTAAACAAAGATACAACGACGGAGATATTGCTCGCAAAAGACGAGAATGTAGAATCCAGTTTTGAGAAAAAGTCATGTCCCATAGAGAATACACGCAAAATGTAAAAAATTGACATGCCTCCTTTAATCGCAAAAATACGCCATAATACCATTGTCCAAATGAAAATTGGTGGTGACTGTATTTGTAGAGAATATTCTCAGGTAGAACATATCAAAATTTGAAACAAAATTGATCAATATTTACAGAGATACAATCAATTTTCCAAAAATCTGCTGACGTCATAATATGCAAATTGAAATTTTGAGTTCGGAGGCCATTATGATGACGTCATGAGTTAATTGAGGGTCAAATGAGACATGAAATCATACCTCCAACTCATAATCTATTTAAATATGAAAGAAATTGGGGGTTATCTATCAATTCTGAAGAGTTAAAATGAATTTTGTATAGGCATGTTTTTGCCCATGTATTGTGGATACAGATAGCGCAGGTCGGCGCGTGCGTTCAACTTTGACAGCCGCTAATTGCGGTATTACTGGTCGGAAACAGGTAAACAAGGTATCAAAATGCTTGGAAAAATGTAATAAATATGATAACAGAAAAAATTTGGCGATTCTATGTTGCAAAATGCCAGGACGCGCGGATACGCGCGGAAACGCGCGCGCATAATTACGCGCGCGCAAATTTTGAAAATGCTTAAAATGGCCTGAAACGTATGCAAAATTAATTTAGAACGAATTTGACCATTTTAAAATTTTAATGCGCGCGTACGTGCGCGTCGAGGTGCGCGCACGGATTTTGTTGACATTTTTCGTTGACCTTTGACCTGAAGTTGATGTATACCAAATATGGTTGATTTTTGATGACTCGTTATCGAGATATGATAATGACCTGATTTTTACAAAATGGCGCCTGGATGACGTCACGATGACCCCATGACCTTGAAAAAGTTGATTTGACTTGAAATCATAGTGCTTGATGACTGACAGAAATTTGAAGGAAATTGACCATGTCGATTTCGAGTGAACGTGTGTACAAAAAAGTGTACGGAAGAAATAAAAATAAATAAAGAAATAAAGAAAGAAAATTCTAGCGAAATCAATAGGTGATCTGTCGTTGACAGACCACCTAATAAAGAAATAAAGAAATAAAATTCTAGCGAAATCAATAGGTGATCTGTCGTTGACAGACCACCTAATAAATAAAGAAATAAAATTCTAGCGAAATCAATAGGTGATCTGTCGTTGACAGACCACCTAATAAGCATTCCCATCTGCGTAAAAAAAGGTTTTGTCTTCTGTTAAATTGAAAATAAAATATTAGCAACATCCAGACCAACTGATTTCATGATCATCAATTGCACTTACTGAGATTTACTGTGAGCACTTTAATCAATCAATAGTGATAATATAAAACATATCGGTCAAAGATTTCTTGTAAACTGTGGTTTTGTTTTCTGTTTGCAGATTCCACTTATGATTGATAAAAAGGACAATAAGTACAGCAATATCCTTGTTAGATCCAAGGATCTCCATTCCCTAATAACGAAGGCAGGGGCCTCACTAATACCTGCTGTAATCCTGTTGAATGGAGCGATTGATTTGGTCTTCGCCAAGGAAGAACTTGCAGAGTCCGGGGGCATGGGCAAAAGGAAAAATAACAAGGCGCCCCTGGACTCTGCAAAAGTTGAAGCAGTGCAAGGTATGTCAGCATGTTCTAATATATCATACAAAGTGAACCTATTTGATCAGTTAGAGCCTTTCCTATTTTACAAGTAGTGTACCAAAGTTGTCAGAATGTCTGCTTCCATATTGAATCATTCAACATATCTGTCAGTTTATCCAGAAACTTTCATTTTATCTTGCAGAATTCGTCTTAGCCTTGTCAAAGAAGAGGGGATGAACAATGCTAACTCCAGCAGACGTATCCCGAAAGTTTGCATACAAGGTCACAAATGCAAGGAAGGATTTAAAAAAAATCATTATAAGATAATTAATCAGTAATTAAAGGTACTATATCCCATTTGCAGCCAACATCAAAATTAAAGTGATATAATCTTGATTGTTTTGTCTCAGCTGTCTATATCTCAAGACTTGTTTTCAGGGGATGAAAGTCCAAACTGGAGAAGAAGTTGGAGACTCCGAAGCCACAAAGTCAAAAGAAACGAGATAGATAATGCGGTATCATCAGAGAGACCAAAAAGACATGTGATTATGATTTTCTTAAGTCAAGACAATCATTAATTTGTGAAGCAAAATCCATGAATGCACAAAGTTCAATAAAAAAAATTCTGTGAATATAAGTTTATACCCAAAACACCTCCCTGCCATAACATTGTCAACATTTGATATAATTTGCTTTATTTTGATAAACAAAACTTTCATGTATTTCAAACAGGGAATACCAAACTTTGGTAACACATGTTATATGAACGCAACGGCTCAAGTGATTGGAGCCTCCCCATTGGCGCAGGAGTATCCAGGGCAAACAGAGCACAAGATTCCATCATTAAAAAAAATCCTACAACTGAAGGCAGCAAGAACAAACTGCGGGGTCAAGTAGGCTGTCATGGATATTAAATAATTGATGCCCAAATACGCCAACAATAAGCAACGTGACGCCGGGAAATTCCTGCGGGACATCATCACATCATCTTGCCTGCAGTGTGGTGCAGAATGTTCTTTTCTAAAGAGGTATAGCTTTCTTTTAGAAAACCAGATGAAGGAGCAACCAGCAGATGTCCCTTCTTCAGTCTCAAGAAGACTTCTGACCAACTACATGAAAATGGAATGGCAGATTATTACATTTCTTCAGAGGGTGCAGTTGCCTCTGCTCCAGTATAACCAAGCCCCTACTTTCTAAAAGAGACAACTCACAAAATCTACAACCAGAGGATTTCATAGTGGATTAAGACGCATCATTAGGCCTAAAAAAAAAATTGATGACTTGGCGTAACCCGCCCGACCCTACGCTTTTTTATTTTTTTTGATCCGATTGCGATTGCGAAAATATCGATATCGCAGTGAGGAAAACCCGGGTGTTTGTTGCTTTCGTTCTGGGCTTTGCCGCGCCGTGTTTGGGCCAGCTCGCGCGCCGAGTGCAGCGGGCAGGTATGCCATAGTACCGCTAGGCGATTGTATCCCCAACATGGCGTCCTATGGCGTTCAGTTCACGGGTAAATTTGGTGCTCACGTTTTATTCAGCGTTCTTCGGAAGGTGGACATTGAAGCAACAATCGGAAAAATCGTTCAAGATCTGGCCGCTGATAATTTTGTGGTTAAGAACATCAAGGCATCTAAGGAAAACTGTGGTCCGTTTTCTGATTTGCTGTTGTCTGAAACAGTGTCACTATAAACCTCTAGACAAGTTATAAAAATGTTAGTCAATACATTGTGAAAATACTAATATTTGTGAACAGCCCCTTCTAAACCTACATATTCACTTGTTTATCCTGTTGAAGACAGTGTCTGAGATATCTCAGGCTGGGGTCTGTTGGAAACCTATTAATGCGTTCGTATGTTTGCATTTTATGTGCATGAGGGTGTATGTACATGTACATGTATGTATGCAGGGGGGGGCCAGGTGTATGTATGCATCCCCCAGGTCCCAAGGTGATCAAGATTTCAACAATTTCTTGCTCACTTTGCTCACACAGTGTGTGTGTCCATATATGTGTGTGTCCATATATGTGTGTGTGTGTGCGTGGAGTTATTTGAACATATTGTGGTCTACCCCTCTCATCAGATCATTCCCAAGGTCTGAGGACCTATCTACGCCACTGTATGTATGTATGTGTATGAATGGCTAATTTCATGTATGCAAATATAAGCAACAAAAAAAAAAAAAAAAAAAAAAAAAAATCGCCCTACCTACCCTAATTTTCAGTGACCTGTTACGCCAAGTCATCATTTTTTTTTTTAGGCCTTACCTCTGACTGAAAAACTTAAAAATCTGGCACGGAGCGGAAATTTTCTTGTGATTTATGCTTGCTTGCTTGCCATACGATATGCTTGTGAATATATATTTGTGATCAAAAGGGATATCAGGAGGGCCGTTGCAAGAATAACTACAAGATCAAGCTTCTTGATCACAATATAATGATGAAGGAGAACCGGGAACGTAAATCACTGGAGCTGATCGCAATTATATATACATATTTCTTTCTTTTTCACAATCAGTTCTGTGATAAATGCAAGGAGGCACTAGTAGACAGGACAGATGAGGCTCCAGAAGTCTACTTGCAACTAATCAGGTTGAAAGACAATTCAGGTGGTTTCCTTTTTCAACATTTCCTCCAAAAGGAACAAGCGATGTCGTGAGATCATTGACAGGGATGATGCTGACCGGCCATCATGGAAGAGAGGATCGTATTGATGAGATGTGGAAGATAAGGATGGAGCAGGATGAGGTAGAAGATGAGACAGAGCTGCCAACCTTGTGCGACCAAAAAAGGGAAACATGATGGCAAAAAAAAGGAATTTCAAGCAAAAAAAGGAATTCATTAAAAAGGAAACTCACAACCACGCACGACACACTTCCAATGCAGAAACGTCTATTCCTCATGCTATTTTTTCCATATTAGGACCTGTAGTTTATTTACAAGTAACCCCTAGTTATTGTTTTAGGAGTATTATCAGCATTTCATTCTTTTTGAGAATATTTTTTCTCTTCAAGTATGTTTTCAAGTATGTTTAAAACTTAGTTTTCTATTGAATTTGTGATCAAATCAACATTTTAGGGCAGTTTGATAACAAAAACTTCTCATTGACAGTCCAATTACTATTAAATCTTATATAGATTGTTGAAACACTCACAGACATGACGACATCGGAAGATTTTAAACCAGGAAAACTGCTACAGATGCTGTGGGACTACTAGCAGCGATTACTAAGTTTGCATTTGTCACTTGCCTATACACTGCTGGGTATCGTCTCGGGTATATGAAATCTGTAGGTTGGAATCTACAAAGGAGGCAGAGAGACATTTCATTGGGCTTGATGCACACCTGAAATCAAAGAGGCAGGAAAAAGAAGACAGAGAAAAGAAGCCCTCCCTCCAAAGGAGCAGAGAGAAGCTATGCCTCATGCTATCATGACAGACTGTTCACAGTTGGTGCTCTCGACAATCTTGATCACAACCCATCCAGCACCACTGCAACTGGTTCTTTCCATGGTACAGGCATTAGTCTGTTTCAGTTTCCAACAGCATCAAATACAGGAAACTCCCGCAGCAAACTCACAAGTGTGTAATAGCTTCCTTTGCGAGGATGAAGTATGGGCTGCTTTGTCATCGCTGTAATCGTCTCCTGTGTTACATGCATTTCTAACAAGGGGAAGATTGCATGAATCATATTCATGGCTTTTTGTTTGTTTAATGTAGATGTAAGTGTATTTGATATGCATGTTGACACTTTTCCCTCAGCTGATACCCATAGGTTAGCACACACTTATCCGACAAGGCTGCCATAGGAGATGTCCCTTCCTGGCAAAAAAGATATGTTGATGATTCCTAATGAGCCTGACGCAAAATAAACGGCAGATCACCCTTCCTCAGTTTTGAGTACTGAGAATCCAGTTGTGCCTAAAGAACAAGATCAAGGAGCAAGAACAGATCCCCATTCTTCAGATTCCGGAAAGGGTAATCCAGAAGTGCCTAAAAAACCAGATCAAGGAGCAAGAAGAGATTTCCTTTCTTCAGGCTGATCTTTGTCAACTGAAGATCAGCTAAAGGAATATAGACAGCGGAATTGCAAACAGATGGAAGGACATCGTCGACGCCATCAGGAATTGAAGGAGAGCTCCAGATGTGATGTTATAGTGGCGGGGACTCCATGGTGAGACACATCAACGGCGAGCATCTTTAACGGAGGAATAAGAGAGTGATCTGTATATTTAAACCTGGTGCCATGGTGAAAGATATCGCTACTTCGTCGCCTTGTGAGATGCTAAAGCCTGGCGGTGAACTAATTATTCATGCAGGGACCAACAACATAGTTGAAAGTGCTAGCAATGTTGCATATGAGATGGCTGTCCTTTGCGAGTCCGTGTTTGCTGAAGGGTTCTTAGTCACCATCTCCGGCATCATACATCGCAGATGGGAGAGCGCCGACGAGAGTAGGCGAGTAGACGAAATCAACCGATTGATGGAGACAGCTGCTAACCAGAACGACTGGGGCTTCATTAACAACTCAGGCATCAATGGGCAACATCTCGGGCAGGATGGAGTTCATCTTAATAGATCCAGTATACGTATCCTGGCTGCCAACCTCTCTTGTCATATTCACAGTCTCCAGTCAACAACAGGTCAGAATAGAGCTCCAACTCAACGTCAAAGGTCCTATGCCGATGCGGATACTGGAAAGACGGGGTTTATCAGTTTCTGAAGTCTTCACGGAGCAGAAGGGACCACAACGCAGAATGATGTGCAGTGAAGGGCGTAAGGTTTCTAGAAGTGTATAGACTGAGGGTCTGGATTTACACCAATCGTCCAACAAGGCCAGGCGCGATGTATGAGACCCGGAAGTGACATGCTGTTGTGTAACAAACAAATTAAAAGGGTAATCTGAAAATGATATCTATTGTTGATGTGAATATTTTTATGATATATAATATATGCACATTCCTAAAGTATAAGTCATTCTCATGACGACAGGAATAATTGAAAAAAAACTTGTCAGGAGGTAGTTTTCGGCCGGTGGGGGTCGTTTAATTAATGCGCGATGTATGAGACCCGGAAGTGGCATTACTTATGCTGTTGTGTCCTACTTCTTGTAGACGGCCACAGGAGCCATCTATCTCTTGAGGTGGCCGAGTTGTGCTTGGAAAACAACATAATACTCTACTGTTTTCCAGCGCATGCTTTGCACGTAATCCAACCGTGTGACTTGAGCCTCTTCAAGTCACACGGTTGGATTACGTGTGAAGCTCCTGAAGGCGCTTACATAGGACGCTCCCCCTCCGGCTGGATGAACAGCGAGTTTTTTTTTTTTATATTGCCAACTGTTTAATTCCCTTCCTCAATCAGAAGGGGGTTACTTTCCCAATCCTGCTTCTTGTAGACGGCCACAGGAGCCATCTTTCTCTAGAGGTGGCCGAGCTGTGCTTGGAAAACCAGATTATTCTCTATTGTTTTACAGCGCATGCTTCGCACGTCATCCAACCTTGTGACTCGAGACTCTTCAGGTCACTGAAGGCGAAGTGGGAGGCCACCGAGAGGTCCCACAGGATGGACCATGAGGGTGCAACGGTACCAAACTTATGTTTGCACGAGTCTTCTCAAAGGCATGGGAGGAGACAACATCCGACCTCATGATTGCTCGGAGTGAGAGGCTGAAAAGGCAATATCTAGAGCGGAATGGAGGACATTGTGAGAGGACAGGAGGGACGACAAGGATTGGGGGCTGGTCAAATCCATAAAGATAAGGAATCTCACTCAATGGGAAGTCAGAACAGATATTAGCAAACTAGTCAATGAGGAGCATGATAATTTGAATTATGTGAAAGCTGTACAGATGCCAGTTCAAGGAGCTTGGTCGTCATAGGAAGGAGTGCAGCAAAAGAAGTTGTCCTGGAGGAATCTGTTTGATACCAGCCCTTTATTGCTGTAATTCATGATTGGTTGGCCATATGACACTGTAGCATCACCAGCAAAACTGAAGCCTTGGGGATTAAGTGAAGATGATGCTTGCAAGCTTTGTCAACAAAGAGCAACGACTACGGTACACATATTCTTGCTGGCTGCCTGACAGGTCTCCAACAAGGCCGGTACACTTGGCGTCACAACCATGTACTGGGTATCACTGGGGATGTTTTGATGATGAGGATAATAGAACACAACCAAAAGCCGACCCGAACACAAGCATC